AAAGGGCAGATGATGTGAGGATGCGCTCACTTGGAGCCACAAAGGCTGACAGTGGTCGACTCAGTAATCGTTTGGTCAACACTTAACTTAATAAACGTGTGTTCACATGCCAACCACTTGGTAAGGTACTAAGAAGAGTGCAAAGTAATATAACATAGTCAGTCATCTTTCAAAAGTGTGCCATCCACCTGGGAATATAAAATATAACCACAAGGAGACAGTTCATTACAAGGTGGTGGCTTCTGGGTCATCCTGGATGACCTAGAGCAGGGAGAAGGGAGAGGGCTTTTGCACTGGGACCTGAAAGGTAAGGATGCTTCAGAGAGGCTTAAACTGCTCATCAAGTAGCAAAGCATAAGGCCAGGAAGTTAACCAGTATCTCTGAGTTTGTGTTTATCCACTAAGGGCAAGAAAGGATACTTGGGGCCAGATTAAGTAATCTTGAACTAGCTACTTTGGACTACAACCCACTGTAGATCAACAAATATAGATATGCAATTATTGAATGTGTTTGAATAGAAACGTGTACAATAATGTACAATGTTTCAGGAAGTTTAATCTGGGTAACTATATGCAATATGCATCCTTGAATTGCATACAAATTTAAATGTTAAAAGAATTACAATTATTATTTTTTAAAGTTGTGTCTCTCTAATCCATCATTCCCTATTCTCATGTAATTAATTTTTTCATATAATTTATTACTGTCTGACATTATATGATTATGGTTACAAATCCATGCGAGTAGGGACTCTGTCACTTTTGTTCATTGCTGTGTCCCTAACTCCTAAGACAGCAGTGGACATTTGCTAAATATTTGCTGGTATTATAAATAAATCTATATTGAAAGGCAAGAAGCTGGAGGCAAGGAGAGCAATTAAGTGTTTATCAAGTTGATAAAACTTGATAATAGAGGAAGGAGAAGAGAAAAAAAAACACGAGACATTCACGATTTTGAAGAATAAATGAACTAGTAGACTTGATAACTCGATGAATGTGGCTGGTGAGGGAGGAAGAGGAGCCTAAAATTGCTGAGACTTCAAGGTTATGTGCATGGAAGGATGACGGCAGTGCTAAAAAACAATTGGGAAGTCAGTTGGAAAGTATGTTCTGGCTAGATGTCAAGAGTAAGTGTATGACACCATCTGAGTTGTCGAGCGACAGTGATTTTCGATCAGAATCCAGGAAGCAGGCCGGGCTTGCAGATTTAGCTTTATGGCAGTGAAGATAACGGAACTTTGAGCGTAGATAAGATTTCTGTGGGACAAACTGTAGGTGCAGTGAGGAAGAGGGGAGAGAACTGTTACATAAGCCATCCTCAAAACCGACCTTAAGCACAATGACCCTTTCATAATCTATGCCTTCATCCTACGTATATCTGTTGAGTTCTGACTGAAAAAAACAAAACAAAACATGGTATGAGGTATTGGGAGAACTCACAGTCTAGTAAGAAAAACAAACCTAAAGAAAAGATTTATACACTTGACCCGTCCGAATGAATAAGCTGCCCCAGGTCCAGCCAGCTGTGGAGCCGGTGCCACCTGATCTTATGCTTTTTCAAAGACAGGCTGAATTTTTAATGTGAGAATTGCTAATAACAAAATATAGGACACTGATTAAAATGTGTGAGCCAAACAAAACGTTTTTGCTGGCTGGACTGAATTTGCAGCCAGCCCTATGGTAACCTCAGTCAGGAAGAGGTCCCTTTCTCTCCTTTACCGCTTAAACTGTACGATCTCAGGGAGGAAGCTTTAGGCCTGTGAGAATCAGACTGAACCACCTGGTGGGGAGGGGTGTTTTAGAAAGGCCACTGGAAGCTGGCAGATAGGCTCACTTTTGTACATGGGTCTGTACTCATATTTAATAAATATTTCTGGAGCCCATACCATGGGGTGGGGACTCAGTATATAAATGTAAGCAAATTAGACAAACTGATATCTCATTTGGGCAAATTTCATCAGGTGAGAAGAGACTAAAGACTATTACTAATGGAAAGAAGAAAACTTAACAGCTAAAATAATTATCTACCTGATGTGCTGGCTGAAACTGCTTTAATTCTGAGGAGAAAGCGGAAGTGGAAGGAGAGGAACTATTTCTAGGTGAAGAGCTGGTCTGTGTGTATTGCTGTGGGGACGGTAGAGGCTGTGGACAAGGTCCTAGAAATGTCTAATGTGGGCAGGAGTAAAGAAAATTATTAAAGAATGAAATACATCACATTTGTACCTACGATACAAGTAGTGTAGGAAATAACAGCGAAGAATGAGTTTGATATCAATTCTGATTAAGCTAGTGGCTTTCCAGCTTTCTTTGATTGTATCATAGTAAATAAACTACCTTCCCTTTCCACACAGTACACGGGAGACACACACATGGAAACACATACTAAAAATTTCACATGTTAACATCTACATTGACTATACGACACCTTGAGATGTTTTCCATTGTTTTATTTTGTTTCTTAAAAACGCTGATCATGACCTATCAATGAGCTAAACTCACATCCTTGAAATCATGGGATTATATAAAAAAGTGACATGTTGTGTATGGGTCCTTACTTCTTCTCAATGGGCCATGACTTTTCCAGGACTTGGACCCTGAAAGTGTATGGTGATATCTGAGATACAATACCATTAATAGAATTTTAAAATGTAAGTATTTATTTATTTTTAGATGCAAAATCAATTTATATTAAGAAGCTAAGTGTATAATTTATATATCTTAAGTTTTAGAAATTTATTTAAAAATATGTAGTACTCTGGTATGGCATAGCTCTAGGACCCTTCCTCAGGTCCAAACCCACTGGGTTTTGCTTTTCTTCTTCTTTTTTTTTTTCATTTTTTAAAAAACTGAGTATAGTTAAGTTACAATGTTGTATGAATTTCTGGTGTACAACATAATGTTTATTTCCAGGACTTTTTTCTTTCACTGGTAAAAATCAAGTTAATCATGATTTTGAAAAAGTCTACAAACTGTAATTTTTAAATAAAGAGTATCAGGATAAATTTAAATTTCTATTTGCATAGACATTTTCATCTTCCCCAACTGGGACTCTGTACCCATTAAGCAATGACTCCTCTATTCCCATCTTCCCCCAGCCCCTGGCAACCACCATTCTATGTTCTGTGTCTATAAATTTGACTTCTCTAGGCACCTGGTATAAGTGGAATCATGTAATATTTATCCCTTCATGACTGGTTTATTTCATGTTGCACAAGGTCTCTAAGGTTCACCCACGGTGTAGCATGTGTTAAAATTTTTTTCTTTTTAAGGCTGAGTAATATTTCTTTGAATGTATATACCATGTTTCGTTTATCCACTTATCTATCAGCAGACAGTTGGGTACTTCCAACTTTTGGTTATAGTGAATAACACTGCTATGAACATAAGTAGACAAATATCTAACTGATCCCCACTTTTGTCTATTTTTGGTATATACTCAGATGTGAATTTCTGGACCATGAATGAAAGAAAAAATCATTCTGACACTTGTTAAGCTAGTAAGGGAGACTTTATTCAGGACTATTGTGATAGTTGTCAAGACCATTACTACAGAGGAGAGAGATTGGGCTCAACTCTGAATACAGCAAGGAAAGCTGGGGATTTATAGCCAATGAGCAGATTGAGGGGCCAGTGGATGGAAAAATACTAAAAGTTAGCATCAAGGGTACGGGCATTCATGCTTAACTGACCTAATAGTATTCTTCCTGAAGGCTGGCTGACTAGCAGGATCAGTTATCGTGGGTGAGGATGAGGAACCTGAACAGGTATCAAGGGTGAGCGATCTCCTCTAAACTGACTTAGCAGGATTCTTGCTACAACTAGACCAGGCCTACTGAAGACAGGGCCCAGGACAACCTGGTCAAAAAGAGGGCAAGGAGAAGCCTAATTAAAATGTGGTCAGGCGTCTAATCTTTTTTAATCATATGATAATTAAATGTTAATTTTTTGAGGAACCACCATACTCTTTTTCATACTCCTACCAGCAATGCACAAAGGTTTCAATTTCTCCATAACTTTGATTATACTTGTTATTTCTTGAGATTTTTGTTTTATTTTTGTAACAGCCATCCTAATGGGTGAGAATTGATATCTCATTGTGAATTTGATTTTCATTTCCCTGATCATTAGTGATGTTGAGCATTTTTTTAAGAGCTTTTTGACCATTGGTTTATCTTCTTTGAAGGAATGTCTGTTCTCTTTGTCCACCTTTTTCTCGTAGGTTGTTGTTATTGTTGAATTGTAGGAGTTGTTTATATCTTCTAGATATGAATCTTTGTCAGATAAAAACCATTTGCAGATGTTTTCTTTCATTCTGTAGACTGCCTTTTCACCTTGTCGATAGTGCCCTTTGATGCATAAAAGTCTAATTTTGATGACGTCCAAATGATCTATTTTGTTGTTGTTGTTTTCCCCTGTGCTTTTGGTATCATGTCCAAAAAAATCCAGTGTATGAGCCTTTTGCCCATGTTTTCTTCTGAAAGTTTTATAATTTTATCTAATTTTTATTGTAATAGACTTACTATTTTGAATTGATTTCATATATGGTATAAGGTAAGGGTCTAACTTCATTCTTTTGTATTTGGATATCCATTTTCCACACCATTTGCTGAAAAGACTGTCATTTACCCATTAATGGTCTCAGCAGTCATTTCTGAGCTCTCTATTCTATTCTATTGATCTGTGTGTCTATCTTTATGCCAGCACTATACTCTTTTGATTACTGTAGCTTAATAGTAAGTTTTGAAACCAGAAGGTGTGAGACTTCCAACTTTGTTCTTATTTTTCAAGATTGTTTTGGATATTTAGGGTCAGTTGAGATTCTATATGAATTTTGGGATGTACTTTTCTTTTTCTCCAAAAAAAAAAAAAGTCATTGGAATTTTGATCCGTGAGTATAGAACTTCTTCCCACAGGAAAAACCAAAAACCAAAATTTGAATGACCTGATTTCAATTCTTCAATTATGGGGCAATGGCAGTGACTGTGATACTGTATCTGCAGGGAGTTGAATGGAGGCAAAAAGACATGTCCACACCCCAAACCTGTGATTGTGACCGAACTCGGAAAAAGGATCTTTGCAAATGTAATTACATTAAAGATCTCAAGTTGACATCTTTCTGGATTATCTGATTGAGCCCTAAATCCAGTGACAAGTGTCCTAATGAGAGACACACAGAGGAGAGACGGAAAGAAGACGAGAGGCCATGTGAAGACTGAGACAGAGATTAGAGCGATGCAGCCACAGCCAGGCATACCTGGAGCCACCAGAAGCTGGAAGAGAGAGGTAAAATTCCCTCTTACAGCCTTTAGAAGGAGAAGGCCCCTGAAACACCTTGATTTCAGACTTCTGGCCTCCAGACTGTGAGTTAATCTATTTTGGTTCTTGAAACCCACTGAGTTTGTGGTGATTTGTTACAACATCCCTCGGAATCTAATATACCATCCCCAGCCCTTTAGTACATGGGTGGAACGCACACCTCACAACCTAATGCATTTCCTGTTTTATGAAGTCACATCAATAACAATGGCTCCTGTTAGCAATAGAAGCTTCAAGTATAAGCTGAAAAATTCTCCAGAAGAAGGTGGTATAATCAGAGGCTGAGGGCACAGGTACCAGAGTTATATTACTTGGGTTCAAATCTTTTTTTCCACCACTTATATGCTGTTAGCCTGAGCAAATTTTCTTATTTCTCTGTATCCCCAAGTTAATCATATGTCAAATAGAGAAAAAAAAAAAAACAGCAGTTCTTTCAGAAGTTATAAGAATTAACTGAACTAAAATGGAAAGTATTTTCAAATGCTTAGCCATTATAAGCACATAATAAACAGCTATCAAATTATTATTTTGGAATGGATTCTCTTCTTAACCAAGGCAATTCTCATTTTCTTCTAACAAAGCTTTCAAGTAATACATTGCCAGGTGATTATTATTAATTTTCTATCCCACGGCTACTTGCACAAGGAGTTTGATACAGCTACAATGTGCGCTAATCCAATGTGCTGTTAGTTACATTAAGAAGGTAATACTTCATTAAAAATATTAGGAGTAAAAAAATTTTTTTCAGTAGCTAAATATGACATGACTAAATGCTGGTTAGCAAAACTTCTGCCCCTAGGTCAGAAAAGCTCTATGGTTTGTAAGCTTTTGTCATATATATATATATATATATATATATATATATATATATTTTTTTTTTTTTTTTGCTATATGACTTCTTGAGTTTCAATATTTAGAAATCTATGATGTTCTGTGAATATGACACTGTGGCTCAGGGCCTGAAGGTTACCCTTGAGGAAATATATGAGGTTTAACATTCTCTTTGGGGGCCTGGCTTTCTCCCTACGTGAGAAAGTTCCAGCTCGCAATGATCATTCTTAGACATTCTCATTAAAAGCAGACGTTGAAACCTCAAATACTTGTGGGCCAAAAACTCCACAGCTTTTTTGAAAAAAAGTGCATTACATAGTAAGTTACAGACACCTTGCCAGGACGATGTCCCCAAACCACACGTCATCTCCCTATAGAGGTACATCCCACATGCTGTGGAGGTAGAAAAACTGGTGTTTATCCAGATGGGACAAAAGCGCCTTGACACAGATAGAAATATTTTCTCAAGTCAAAGCTGTGAATATCATACTCAGAAGTCAACTGTTGACAGCTGTGGAAATACAAATGTGTCCAGGTGGTGAAGACTCTGGAGAAGCTACCAAAGCAGCCTGAGAAAGGAGGCTGGGCTTCCTGGAGTTTCATTTCCCGTCTTCCCGCCCTTGCGCTTGCTTGCCCAGAGCGCCGCGTGCATTCCCCTGGTTGCCTGAAACTCACAGCACAGCGATGCCTCTGCTCCACAGTCTTTTTCCTTCATGCGTCTGCCTCCTTGCTACATATCTTTTGACCCTACCTCTGCTTGTCACCAGCAATTTTTATTTATATAGTTAGTCTTCCCAGTCTCCCTCTGCACCCCTGCCTTTTTTCCAAGATCTGTTTCCATCCTACACTCTTCTTCAGAACCTCCTGCTCCAGATGTGGTCCCTCTCCCTACACTCACACTGGAATTTCCCAGCTTCCAGGGCCCAGCTCTAGCTGAGAGGCCTCTGCCTTCCTCCCTGCAGCCCTCAAATGCCCTAATCCAACTCCAGATTCCTCCCCACACAGCTCTGAGAACGACCCCACATTCCGTCTCTCCGCAGGATGTTCTCTGCCAGCCTTCCCCCAGGCCCGCTGCTGCTGTGCCCACACTGTTTCTGTTTCCTAGGAGACACTCAACTTTCTTCAAAACCTTCTTTTAGATCCCCCTCTGCCAGATTCCTCCCACTGACGGCAAGATTTCTGGGCCCAGGTGAGCCTTCCAAGCTTCATTGTAATTTGACTGAATGGATTTGTTGACCTCATAGCAGGTTGTTTTCTCCTGAAAAACGTCCTCAACCCAGATTGCCCTTTAGTCATACTGAGGAGCTTTTTAAAATGCATCCACCCCTAGAGATCTGGACTTAACTGGTCCATCTGGGATGTGGTCATCGCAATGGTTTCACAACTTCCGAGAGAGGTCTGTTGTGTGTCCGTGGGATTGAGAATCAGGACAAAAACCTTCAATCTCCTTTTGCTCTTTTCACCCAGCTCTTCTCTAAAGAATTTTCCTTGAATTTTGGACAATGCAGCAGCCCACCCTTAGAGAGCTGTACACCCCTTGTTGTTAGCCCTAGTTCACCCCAAAACAACGGGAACAGAGTGTGCCTTCAGAGCTTTCCAAGAAAGTTGCTGGGAAGTTGGCAATGCTTCTGGGCCTGGTAAACTGCCAAAGGGAATTTAATGACAAAAACCTGAAGGGCCCCATTTGGAAAAGAAGCCAGGGTGATCACACAGTTACTTACGTTTGTTGATGAACTGCTGAACTGCTCTGGAAACTCTGGCAACTTGATATTGTAGGGCAATTAACCCTGGACATCACACTTAGGCTTCTGCCCAGTTTTCCCTTCCAGCTTTGAAGACTGAAGGCTGAAGCTGACCTTCAAAGTCCTCTAGTCTGAAGGGACCATTATTACAGATGGGGAAACTGGGGCCAAGAGCGATTGCAGTTTAACAGAAGTCCCACAGCTAAATAAGGATAGAGGCAGGAGGGAAACCCAGTCCTCTTTCTGAGAGTCCAGCTACACCCACTTCCAGCCACACCTACTTCTCATCTGTCTAGCAGTTGGCTTTCGAAATGCTTCCAACAGTTGTCAGTGTACAAACTGACAGTTTGGTGAATGCCCACAAGAAATTGAATTTTGTAAAAAAAGCAAGTGGTAGAGGTAACTGGTGATTCATTAGTAAGCTCAAAAATATGGGAAATAAATGAGGAGAATGACTATCTCACGAAACCTCTTCATAACAGGATAATACATTACCTCACGAAGGTATGAGTTTTGAAAGACAGTGTAGATTGATGCTTAGTTCTGGATCTGACACCTGGCAAGAGGCCAATAAGTGGTCCTAGCAACAGGAGAGGTTTCCCCAAATCAGCACGCTGCGAAGCAGCAACGCAGGCATTCTCCCTGTTTTCTTTCTGAACAGAGAGAAAAAGGAAGTTTTGTAAATTGTAGCATTGATTAGGGGCTCAGTTTTTCTTTTTAGTTCAAATAAACATTTGGGTTTTTTTTTTTACTTCATTAAAAAGAAGCTGATCTATCACTTTTAACTCCTTAGAAAACAGTGCCAGCCAAGTTGGTAATTAACCACATTTTATCTGTGAACTTGGAAAGGTAAAACAGACCAATAAGATAGGTGACAAGGGTTTTCTTGCGTATTCAGAGTAGGGGTTTTAAGATACATATTTCTTTGATCCTTGGTGCTTTTTAAAAGTAGAACATGAGTCTAGAGGTTTCTACCATCCTATCATTGTCTTCTGAACTAGGAGACAAATGTATTGCTGTTTGCAAGAATGCTTCTCAGTTATACACACACACACACACACACACACACACACACACATGAAGTCTTGAAGAAATCAAATGTTTGGATTACTCAAAGAGAACTGGACATTCTTACTATAAAATGCAATAGCTAACAAAAATATTCTTCAAGTGTATTCAACTTTATTGTAGAGGAGGGTGGGGAGTTAGGATCCTCTTGGGTGCAAGTAACGGAAACCGATTCTAGCCAGTGTAAGCAGGAAAGAATTCAGTCTGAGGACAAGATCTTGTGAAAGTCCTAAAAAAAAGAGAATGCAAGGTTATGAGGCCTCTCTCTGTCTTTTCCTTTTTACTTCATTTATTTTTCAGACCAGTTTCTCAGGTCCTCCTGGTGGGTGAAAGGTCCCCAAATCATAATTTTCAGACTTACATCTTCTAGATCTAGCTGCCCAGTGAGACGATGATCTTTCACGGTTCCAATTCCATGTTCCTAAGGGAAGTTCGCCTTGGGTCAGAGGCTCATCCTTGGCCCCCAATGAATAATGTCCACATTATTTGTCAAAATTTGGTACCACCTGCAAGATGAAGGTAGATCAGATTTAAAGTTCAAATATTAGCTTTTTTTAATGATCAGAGCTAGTTTGTACAATTTAGCTTAGAGCCAGACCAAGGAGGCTTACTCCTACTTTTCATCTGGATTAGACAGGCTTGTCCACTCAGTCTCTGGCAAAGCTGGACAACTGCAGTCTCGTTTGGAAACCTACTCCTCCAAGCTCAGCCCTTTAGTAATCACAGAGGAGATATTTCTACAGGTCGGCTAATCAGAAGCGAGAACTCAGAAGTGGATAAGACAAGTGTGTCCAGTGATTGTTCTCAGACTCATCAAATTGAAATGTCACTACTACTCTGGGGAGAAGTGAGGTGAGGGCCATGTAGGAAGTTAGGGAGTGCCGTATGCAAACAACATGATTTAATCCAAGCCATGCAAAATTACAGAGGTATAAAGGGGAAAGGTGTACAGTGTGCATAAAGAAGTCTGAGCACGGGACTAGAAAAATGGAATATTTGTTCCCGAGGCAACTTAGAGATTAAACAGTACAACCACTATCACTTCGCTGCTGGGAAATAAAATAGAGCAGACGTGGGATTTGCTCTACATGTCACTGAGAGCAGAACGTACAGTTCAGATTTCCTAGTTGTTCCTCCTTTCAGGTACTAAATAATGTTATGTTTTGTTTTTCGAATCTATTAATGACAGCCCAAAACACACTGGGTACAAAGAAATTGCTTTGTAATTTCCTTAACAGTTTCCTGCTGTAATTGGATGTGTCTACTTATGACCAACTCTGTCACGGACACACTGAGATAATTTTCTACTGAGACTTCAGCTCATAGCAATGCCTTCAAAATATTAAGTGCTCAATATTTAATAAATACAAGAAAAAGAATAAATTACTAATTTGACAATAGTTAAAAGATACATCAATTAATAAACAAATGGAGATTTATCAACATGTCATATCATTATTATAAGAAAAAGGCATTAATAAAAAGAGGCTATGCCTGGTGGGAGGCGGCTGAAGAATGGACTCTTTGAATTTACAGAATGTGTTGTAATGCTGTATTTCTCTCTCCTATAGTAGGGCAGACACTACTCTGAATGGCTATTTCAGGAAATAGCCTGGAAACGTGCACCTTTATTAACATGTATCAAGTAAATCATGATGAGCAAGTCACAGAAATTATTTCTTGAGATCAGATTTACTTGGTTGTTTGTGCACTATTTATTAATCTGGGAAAAATGTACATCCTTCTTAATCAGACTTCATGTCTCCTGTTTCTCTGGAAAGAAGTTGGAAAGAAATTCAGTTTTCTTTCCTCACTCATAATAGGAAGGATGAAATCTTCATACAGATTCATCCAGGGCAAATTGAATTTCAAAAGTGGGCTCACTGAGGGAGATGGGAGCTGAGGACCTCATGTGCTCACCCTCTGCGTGGGTACAGGCAGCTGATGTTTCAACAGCAGCCTGAAATCTCCCACTGGAATATAAACCACCAAGTAAGAACTCTTTTTTTCTCTTTTTTTTTGTTTGCTTTTTCCTCAACCCCAGCACCTAGATCAGTGCCTGGCACACAGTAGGCACTCAGTAAATATTTGTGAATAAAAATGAAGCTAGAGGCTTACCCAGGCTGAGCTGAGGGTACCTCAGGCAGGAAAAGGGAGGATGGCAAGTGGTGACGGCAGTGGTAGGAATAAT